CTTCTGCTGGAGCCACCCCAAAGAGAGAGATGAATGGTGATGGATGAACAGTTCGTCCAAATACTGTAGTCCTGAAAAGGTATCAAAGATGCCTTGCCAGTATCCATGTAGCTTTGGACAGGACCAGAATGTGTGCAGAAGTGTGGCAGGAGATTGTTTACAACGATCACACAATGGATCCAAGTCCTTTTTGAATTTGCACAATCTGTCCTTYGACCAGTGTAGACGATGTACTACCTTGAATTGAACTATAACATGTTTCACACATACTGAGGACGAATATATATTTTGAATAATTTTTTGCCAAACTGTGTCTGATATGGATTCCTCCAAGTCCATCTCCCACTTGTCCTTCAAAGAATCTAAACTGGAGTCAGAAAATGAGCTGAGCAGAGAATAAACTCTGCTCACAGAGCGTTTTGTTACAGACTTACACATCAGAATCTCATCTATAAGAGAAGTTGGGGGGCGTAGAGGAAAACATCCAGAGTTTGACATTACAAAATGTCTCAGTTGTAAATACCTGAAGAACTGTGACTTATGGATGTCAAATTTCTGAGCTAAATGTTCAAATGAGGCAAACTTATTGTTTATATAAAGATCATTCAGAGAGGTTATTCCCTTTAAACTGCAGGTATTGAAAACAGAGTCCATTAGTGAAGGAGCAAACATATGGTTATTTGATTCTGGAGCAGACAATAATAATTCTGTACTTTTAAACAACCTCCTGCACTGATTCCAGATTTTTATTGTGTGAGTTACAACCGGATTAGAAGTATAAGTTGAGATGGATTGATTAAACGGTAACCGGTAGCAAAGTAAAGCTGAGAGAGAGAGCTCACCGTAACTGATTTCCTCTCTAGATTTACCCAAGTAGGAACAGGGTTGTCGTTTCTCAACCAGTACAGTAAGGCTCTAATGTTGGCCGCCCAGTAGTAATATAAAAAGTTGGGGAGTGACAAGCCACCAAGATCATGGGGTAACTGTAACATCTTACTGCCTGTCCGTGGATGTTTTTTATTCCAAATAAAGGACGACAATTCACTATTTAATTTTGTAAAGAAAGTCCTGGTGAGGAACACTGGCACGCTCTGAAATAGATAAAGTAATTTGGGCAATATTGTCATTTTYATCACGTTGATTCMACCCCCCAGGGATAGAGGCAGGGAWGCCCATGTAGCGATGTCCTTCTTAAGGTTCACCAGGAGAGGCAGAAAGTTTGCTGTATAAAGATCTTTGTGACTGCGAGTAATCCAAATACCAAGGTATTTAAATTTGGCAGAGCTAATTTTGAAAGGAACTGAACCCATATGCTGCTCTTCTACTGGGGTCACAGGCATCATTTCACTTTTTTGAAGGTTAACCTTATAACCAGATATGTTTCCAATCTTTGTGACTGTGAGTAATCCAAATACCAAGGTATTTAAATTTGGCAGAGCTAATTTTGAAAGGAACTGYACCCATATGCTGCTCTTCTACTGGGGTCACAGGCATCATTTCACTTTTTTGAAGGTTAACCTTATAACCAGATATGTTTCTAAACTTTTGAAGTAAAAGAAGTAACTCAGGAACACTAGACAAGGGATCTGAGATAAAAAAGAAGAGTATCATCTGCATATAAGGAAACTATGTTCAGTGCCAAACCGATAGATACCTTTAATCTTAGGGTTGTTCCGTAAAGCCACTGCGAGTAGTTCAATCGCGATTGCGAATAAGAGTGGCGTGAGTGGGCACCCCTGCCTCGTACCACATTCCAATTTAAAATAGTTGGATAGATTACTGTTAGTGCGTACTGCTGCCATTGGTAAGGTATATATCAGCTTCACCCATGAAACAAATTTAGGGCCGAAGTTAAACATCTCCAAGGTCTTAAAAAGATAGTTCCACTCCACCCGGTCAAACGCTTTCTCTGTGTCCAGCGAGATTAAAATTTCATTGCAGTTGTGACCGGGCGGAGCAGAAGCATAGAGCACATTAAACAACCACCTGATATTAAAGAAGGATTGACGATTTTTAATAAAACCGGTCTGGTTAAGTGAAACAATTGTGGGGATCATCTGTTCGACTCGTTTTGCCAACATCTTTGTAAGAATTTTTACATCAGTATTTAAGAGCGATATTGGGCGATATGAACTGCAGCTCAAGGGGTCTTTATCCTTCTTTAAAAGCAAGGAAATTACCGCCTGACGCATAGACAGTGGCAATAATTGTGTAGCCAAGGATTCCTCAAAAAATGATAATAACAGGGGAGAAAGTAGATCCAAAAATTTCTCAAAGAATTCTGCCGGGAAACCGTCTGGTCCTGGAGATTTTCCATTTTGCATGTTTTTAATGACAGAGTTTATCTCAGCTGAAGAGAAATCTCTTTCCAACTTGTTAGATAGGTCAGAACTTAGTGAAGGGATTTTAATATCTTTAAAAAAAATCATCCAATTCTGTAGGGTTAGGTGAGGCTTCGGAGGTATACAGAGATTGGTAAAATTTGCTGAAACACAGATTAATTCCTGCATTCTCACAACATTTTACACCATGCTTATCATTTATTGCTGAGATATCCTGATTAGCTGAGCGCTGCCGTAGCTGCTGTGCAAGAAGGCGTCCAGCCCTCTCACCATGCTCATAGTAGCCATACCTAGATTTGGATATTAAATATTCGGCCTGTTGMGTAGATAAGATGTTAAACTCTGTTTGGAGAAATGTACGTTTCTTAAGTGAGTCTTGTGTAAAAGCATGGCAACATTTCCTGTCTAATTGTAAAATCTGATCTGTTAGCGATTTTAGCTGTTCGATGTTTTTCTTCTTTTTATTTGCACAGTAAGAGATTATTTGACCTCTCAGGTAAGCCTTTAATGACTCCCAAACAGTGTTGAGTGGCATCCCAGGAGTCTGATTAACATCAATAAAAAACTTAATTTCAGAAGCAAGCTCATCAACTAAGTCTTCGTCAGATAAAAGTATCGGATTAAGTCGCCAAGGATGATAGACCGATTGCGTAACAGGAACGTTTAGTTTCATTTTGAGCGGACTATGATCAGAAATGGCCATTGCTCCATAATCACATACACTCACTAAAGGTAAGATCCGTTTATCGAGGAGAAAGTAGTCAATCCGTGAATAGCTCTTATGAACAGGGGAAAAGAATGAAAACCGTCTCAGGGTTGGATTACGAAAACGCCACACATCAACCACTCCGTAAGTGTTAA